AGTTGCATTTTCCCCCCGGGGGGGGGGGGGGGTGATATATTTTATATGTTAATTATGCATATGCACACACATACACCTGCAGCCAATGTATTGGTAACCGCCCCAATTTAATTTCCTGTAGAGATGATGAATCTGGCACCCACCATTCTGTATTACATAAAAGTAAACACATTGGTGTTGGTCTGTGACTTATTCTTGTAAATAATAAAACCAATAAAAATGGCATCGACATAACTATTGGTACCCCTTTAATAACCGTCTAAGCAGACTAAGCTAAAATACTTAGTATCACTGGTATCTTCAATCTCAGAATTTGTCACCAGCCTGTTTGAATGTACAAAGGTAGTCACTTGGGTGTTTTGTGTCTGTGTGCAGAACCGTGAACATAGGAGAACAGCAGCAAGTTGTCTGAGAAGGCCAGGAAAAAAGGTAATAGACAAGCATGGAAAAGATAAAGGTTACAAACCCATATCCAAAGAGCTTTATATTCCTGTGACCTTGGTTGCAAATATTATCAAGTAATTTTAAAGTCCATGAAATTAAAGCCAACCTCTTTGGATGTGGCCACGAGGGGAAAAAAAATAAAAAATTCAAACCAGATCCTGGCTGACCTCCAAGATCAAGGTGCAAAAAAATCAAGTTGCACCATCCATCGTTGTCCCAATGAAAGTGACCTCCGTTTTAACCAGTTGACATCCGCGGTGTTAAACCCCCTTCCCATTCACTCCTGAAAGCCAGACTGGGATTTGCTAAAATGAATACTGGCAAGCTACAGTACTGCAAGCAGAATGTCCTTGGACAGAAAAAAAATAGTTTCTTTGCTGCCTCTGATACATTGATACTCTAAATCTGTGCAGTGCACCATGAAATCAAAAGATTGTCCAGACATTCTCAAGCATTATTTCCAGTAATATGAAGCTCTCTCTCAGTCATAGCCCTTCAGCAGGAAAATGACCATAAACATACTGTTCTAAAGTGGTCTGCTATAAGTCCTGATCCAAACACAGTAAAGCATTTAAAAAAAAAAAAACTGAGCTGCAACTCACGGTGGGGAGAAGAAACCAATTACATTTAGGGCAAATGGGGCCAGGGGGGTACCAAACTCTGTTCAAGCCATTTTGATTTTATTATTTACAAAAAAGTCATAAAAGCAAAAGCAATGTGTCTGTTCTATGCTAAAAAACAAACAAAAAACATTTGTTTGTGTCATTTTTAAATGTGGAGGGGTAGCAATACTTTGGCCCTGACTACATACTGCTGAACTGTAATGGTGTTTTACTGTTCCTCTAATCCTACACTATATTAGGGCTGCAGCTAACGATTATTTTCATAATCGATTAGTTGGCCGATTATTAAGTTCGATTAATCGGTTAATCGGATAAGAAAAAAAAAAAGGCTCCAGTGATGGACTACTAGTTTCTATTGCGATTGTAGTCCATCACAGGAGCAAGCTTGGCACGGTGGAAGTAAAAAAAAAGTGTGGTGTGCAATATAGTACATTATACAGCGGCGCAATGCAGAATACCAGCAGCTATAGAGGAATGCAGCAATAGTACATTATACTATAATGTACTATTGCTGGGATTTGTAGTCCTCTTATTTAATCGACTTAATCGATTAACTGTTGCAGCTCTACACTATATATCTGCTCAGATTTACTGAAAACCATACATTCTCTATGTAGTTTTCTCTATAACTAATTTTATTACAACAGGGAAGCTCTTTCCTTATCGGAAGGATTGCAAATTTGCATACAACACACCAAAATGAAAATACAAAGCAAGTAGTATGTAAAAATGTAAAGTCACATCACAATTAGTTTTGGTGATGTAACTCAAATTGTGCACGAAAAACTGAAAATTCCACAGAAACCAATAGCTTCAACTGTAAAATAGAGCACTACAAAGAACATAATTGAGACCTGATGACAGCCCACAGGGCCAGCACTCTGAGCTTTGCACTTTTTGTTTAAGGTAAAAACCCTGAGCCCTCAGACATCTACCCTTTGGAGTGGTGAGCAAGAAAGACTTAGGCCCTTTCTGCCTCGTATTCTATGTAAACAATGTTCATTGGATGTACCATGTTTCTGTTACAGACTCTTTACACTGAAAAAAGCCAAACTCCCTCAAGAAACAGTTTCTTTAAGTAAATATAAAAATATATATAGCTTCCACCTGCTTCCTCCCACATCTTTCAAATATTGGTACAGTTAAATTTGTTTACATTTTTACAGAGCGAACTGGTTTGTAGAAAGAAAGGGAAAACCTAATTTATGAATAATATATATACCAAAGGGCAGGCGTATCTATACCTAGTAAACCAATTTACAATACCAACGTGTAAATGCCTGGTTGCTATACTGAGTAGTATTAAGCTTCTTGATTAGGTTTACCTCTGTAAATTCTTATTTTTTTTCAAACATATTTTATTGAGATGATTGTAACATAGGTTTTGGCTTATTTTAGCCAGTTTTGGGCAGATGATGGGCATGTTTTAAAATACTTTATAATCCGAGTAAAACCAATGCCGTAATTAACTCAACGAGCAAAGGCATGTGAATAGATAAGTTAAAGGGACACTAAACTCAAGAATTAAATCTGAAAAATACATTCAAGTATCCTATTAACAAAAATGTATCTTATTTGTGTATCACTCAGCAGTAGATTCTCAAATCATCTCTTAATTGGTGCTAACACTGTCCTTCCTTCTGGAGGGTGGCTACTTTTGTTCCCCATGGGCCCTGTGTGTGTTGTAAAGTAGTCACCGCTCCAAGCTCACTCCTGTGATGGACTACAATCTCATGTTTAGTTAACCGGTTTATATTGAGACTGTAATCCATCATGGGAGTGAGCTTGGAGCAGTGGATACTTTACAACACACACAGGGACAATGAGGAACAAAAGTAGCTGCAGAAGGAAGGACAATGTCAGCACCAATTCAGAGATGATTTGAGGATCTACAGCCGAGTGATACACAAATAAGATACATTTTTGTTACTAGTTAAGGTACTTTAATGCATTTTTAAGATTTAACGCCCGAGTTTAGTGTCACTTCAAGTCGATGATCCAGACGCCTGCTCTATGTTATGGTTAATGCATGTCACAGCACAGTAAGGAAAGATGTAATTAGGTGCTGTCCGTACCAGGCAATCACATCAGTTTTATTTATTTTTTTAGTGGCTAGGAAAAGCAAGGAAGCACCTGAATGTTTGTTAGAGAAAACACACTTCTATCATTATGTCCTTACATTTTACACTACAACGTTTTATTGTATACTGCTGCTTGATTTTTCTGCTGCATTTTCAAAATATATGTACTGATTTTTGTGTGGAAATAAACAATTCATTAGACTGAGAACATGGCAGCATACCAAACAAGGCTAAAAAGGACAACATATTAAAGAATAAAGAAAATATATTTAAAGCTTTACTTCTTATTCTGACAAATGTAATATGCAAAAGGCAGCACAATGAATAGACCTTGAAAATTAAATATACTACCTACCTAGTCTTACATGGTGTCTTGAAAAATCTAATTGGCCCCAAGGAGTTTGTTGGAATTTTGCTAGCTGGTGGAAAAAAAATATATCTTTTTTTATCTATGACCCATCAGGAAGGCATTCTGAAAAAAAACAGCTGTACCTACAGTTCCATCACACCAACAAGCAAAGCTTGAATATTCCCCTGGGGCACAAATGAAAAATGTATACAAACGTAATGTAACATAACAAGTAATAAATACTATTTACAAAGCTGATGAAGTCACTTTCCCTGCCTTACAATATCAAGATCAGAAAAGCTGAAGTAGGCTTTGACATACAGGTTTAGCTACTGGGCAAACATAGCTTCCATTTGATTGTTCTGACCTACCAAGAACTTTTAGATATGTTTGATGGTCTGCTGGTTAAGAGAGTGGTGGTTTGGGAATTCCTGCAGCATTGTATTCATCATAAGACTGGTGTCTCTGTAAACAGATTATTGATAACTGCAGTCCAGAAGACAAGGCTACTCAGAATATGCAGCAAGAAAGGCAAAACCAAGTCTTCTCCCACCTTTCTCCAACACAGAAATGAATGGACATGTATTAGCAGGCACTGTAAGGTGTATCACAACACCGGCTTTCATTGCATATGGTACCTTTCAGAGGTCAATACTTTGTCACCGCACTATTTTTTTTCCCAACAGTCAATATAAAATGCAATGACAAGGTTTGAGGTAGCATTAACAGAAAATCACAATCTCAAACCTTTAGCTGCTTTACTGCTGGAGATTTCTGCTACACATGCAACCTCCCATGCAGTGAATAGGTAATAATAATCAATATTTTAGACAAGTAACAAAAAAAAAAAACAGTGACAGACTTTCTAATGTCTGCATGGAGGTCCAATGTAAAAATGTTTTTGTTTTTCTGGTCATTTTCTTCAGCAGAATTTGGTACATTCGCTTAGTTTCCACCTCAAGGTGACATCAAGGAAGAAACAGTCACACGCTGGTGTCTTGTAACAGTGGTTCTATGTCCTCATCACTGTTGCGGCCTGCGTTATTTGTCTGTGAGTTGCTACTAATGCTGTGTTTCCCGCCAGCATTATTTTTGGTGGAGCGACTGCTGTGTTCGGGTATGAACAAGGCAACCATGAAAGCAAGGAGAACGGCAACTGCTCCAAATAAAAATGGTGGTCCTGGTATGATTGCTCCCTGTGGATGAAAACAAAATAATCAAGAAATGTTACGTTACAAGAAATGGATGCAGGATTTTGTAGGTAGTGAGCCCAGTCTAAAGGTGGCTATACACTTTACTACCCTCGCAAGACTTTTGTCTTGCGAGGGTTGTAAAGTAATTTTAAAAAACGTACAATCTGCCTATCTTGGACAGGCAGATCGTACGTGCGATCATCACAAGCCCGCTCCCCTGAGGGGCGGGCTTCCGATGACTGCAAACGGGCAGTGTGCGCGTGCGCACACCGGCCCGTTCGGCAGTTGTCGAACAAGCAGGCCACTAACTCGCCGAGAATCGTACGATTCTCAGCGGGTTTTCCAGCCTGCTTATTCGACGGAAAACGTGCGACCGTACAGTAGAAATGGTCGCACGTCTTCCATACACTTTGCGATTATTGTACGATCCCAGGATTTCCCACGATTCTCGTACGATAATCGTGCAGTGTATGGCCACCTTAAAAGACAGCAGGTGAACTGAACTAAATTCCTGGCAAAGAAATGACAGAATCTCCTTTCACATATGGCAGTGTACTACTGGAGCCAAGTCTAAAGTTAGCAACAGCTGTGTAACAGTTTCACCATTCATGGCTCAACAGAAGCGATTCACTGGGATAGAAAATTCTCATTTTAGTAGGGTTTTTTTGCGTATTCAAATAGAATTAGAAGAGCCGCAGAGAACTTTTCATGTACAAGGGTTATCCCACTGATATCTCTACATGATATTTTGGTGCAATACACCTAATGAAGGATTTCACTTTGAAATACATTTTATTATGCTGTCAGTACTCAAATACATGATGTCATTTGGTGCATTAGGTGTCTCCAATAATGCCTGCTGGATTTAATAATAGATTGATTTGGCCACTATGCAAGATGAACTCTCAAAAAGACTGCAGAATCAATGCCTAGGTCACACAGGCAACAGTGAATATGAATGTGCAGAAGAACTAAACAAGTTCTCTTCTGTAGAGTTCATGATACAGATCTAACAAAGCTGACTGTTAAGTGACTAGTTCTTAAAGTGACACTAAACTCAGGAGTACCATTCAAGTACCTAAACTATTAACAACAATGTATCTTATTTGTGTATTACTCAGCTGTAGATCCTCAAATCATCTCTGAAATGGTGCCAACACTGCCCTTCCTTCTGGAGGGTGGCTACGTTTGTTCCCCATGGTCCCTGCGTGTGTTGTAAAGTAGCCACCGCACCAAGCTCACTACTGTGATGGACTACAATCTCAATACAAATTAGTTAGCTAAACATGAGATCGTGGTCCATCACAGGAGTGAGCTTGGAGTGATGACTACTTTACAACACACACAGGGACCATGGGGAACAAAAGTAGCCACCCTCCAGAAGGAAGGACAGTGTCAGCACCAATCCAGAGATGATTTGAGGATCTACAAACAAGCTACATGTTTGTTAATCGTTAAGGTACTTGAATGCAGGTTTAGTGTCATTTTAAAGCTGCCCCAGCATTTCTGTGGAATAATGGGAAGAAATGTGTCCATGAATTAGTAAAAAGAGAATATGCATGGTATAAACCAACAGACCAATCACCTCATTATTGCTTATTAAAACTTTGCTTTTTTAATAAAATCTATTAAATACATAGTAGCTAGAGCTATTAACGATACTGGTTTATACCACAGGCATTCTGCTAGGTATAGTGGATTGTGTAGTTTCTCTCTTACACACAATTAAATTGTGAGATATCTGACCATCCACAAATGAGCCACTGTATTATGAGTAACCACCACAATACCTGGCTGATGTTGTAGCTATATCGTTCCCTCTTCTCCATTGAAAAGTAAAAGGCAGAGGCCCCATTTTCATGGAGGTTTTTCTACACGGTGGAATAACAAGAACACCTCACACATGAAGGTCAAAAAACAACCTGAATGATCAAAAATGCTGGAATCAGGAGTATCACTTGTAACAGGCTGTTTTACAGTATGAAAATCTTACATTCTTTTAGCCAAGCATGTGCGCTACGGAGGTCAAAATGGAGTAGTGTTATAACTGCGTACACAAAGACCAAAAACATATACCATAACTCTATATGATGTGTAATATATTTATTTACATAATTCACTATAAAAGAGTTTGTCAAGTTGTATGTAATAAGGCCCTATGATGGTGGCAACTATAATGTGTCCTGAAATGTGTGGTGTAGACACTGAAAGAGAACAGCTGCCTTTTGGGTCCACACATACACTGCAGCTAACATGCTAACATGGGCACCATTACAAGGCTGGCTCGCAACATTTTACAGAATTAACATGTAGACATGAATCTACTTACTTCCTCAGTGGGATCCTTCGTGATGGTCTTGTCATCAGTGCCAGGCACCGGAACTAATCCTCCAAGCTCAACGTGGAAGAGAAAGAAAACAAAGCCATACAGCGCTGGGCCCAGACCATTGCATAAACCTCGAATACCAGTCACCATACCTTGTGCAACACCTGTAGAGGCAAGATCATAGAATATGAATGTCTAAGGTAAAGGCTTTAACGTTGATGCGTGCATTCAGTCTACATGACATACTAATTGTGAGCAGAGAGGACACAGATAAAAGCACAATACTAATTCTACAGTAACTAATGAATCCAAATATGAAATGCCAGCAGTTCAGTAGTGAAATCTGTTTATATATTCGTGTTAGAACTGCCTGACGGCAGTAAAGATAAGTGAGGTCAACGATCTCTATTTGTAGTCTGGGAGGGATGCCCAAAAGATGAAACTGGATGAACAGGACTACAAATTTTCTGGCAGCTAAAGGTTGTTCACACATAGATGTAGATATATAGATATAAACTATATTGCTAAAAGTATTGGGACGCCTGCCTTTACACGCACATGAACTTTAATGGCATCCCAGTCTTAGTCCATAGGGTTCAATATGATGGCCCACCTTTTGCCGCTATAACAGCTTCAACTCTTCTGGGAAGGCGTCCACAATGTTTAGGAGTGTGTCTATGGGAATATTTGACCATTCTTCCAGAAGTACATTTGTGAGGTCGGGTACTGATGTTGGAAGAGAAGGCCGGGCTCGCAGTCTGAGCTCTAATTCATCCCAAAGGTGTTTTATCATGTTGATGTAAGGACTCTGTGCAGGCCAGTCAGGTTCCTCCACCCCAAACTTGCTCATCCATATCTTTATGGACCTTACTTTGTGCACTGGTGCGCAGTCATGTAGGAAGGGGCCATCCCCAAACTCTTCCCACGAAGTTGGGAGCATGAAATTGTCCAAAATGTCTTGGTATGCTGATGCCTTAAGAGTTCCCTTCACTGGAACTAAGGGGCAAAGCCCAACCCCTGCAAAACAACCCACACCATGATCCCCCCTCAAAAAAAACCTACATTTGGCACAATGCAGTCAGACAAGTAACGTTCTCCTGGCAACCGCCAAACCCAGACACGTCCATCGGATTGCCAGACAGGGAAGCGTGATTGGTCACTCCAGAGAACACGTCTCCACTTCTCTAGAGTCCAGTGGCGGCGTGCTTTACACCACTGCATCCGACGCTTTGCATTGCACTTGGTGATGCAAGGCTTGGGTGCAGCTGCTCGGCCATGGAAACCCATTCCATGAAGCTCTCTACACATTGTTGTTGTGCCAATCTGAAGGCCACATGAAGTTTGGAGATCTGTAGCTATTGACTCTGCAGACAATTGGCGACTTCTGCGCACTGTGAGCTTCAGCATGCGATGACCCCGCTCTGTCATTTTACGTGGCCTACCACTTAGTGGTTGAGTTGCTGTTGTTCCCAGTTGCTTCCACTTTGTTATAATACCACTAACAGGTGACGGTGGAATATTTAGTAGCAAGAAAATGTCATTGAAAACCTGAATCAAATGATTTGGAGGGGTGTCCCAATACTTTTGGCAGTATAGTGTATATTCAATCAGATGTTAACAGTTGACCGTGGAATAATAGCAAGGAAATGTCACGGATGTACTTATTGCACAGGAGGCACCTATCATGCTACCACGCTTAAATTCAATGAGTTTCTGAGAGCGACCCATTCTCTCACAAATGTTTGCAGAAGCAGTCTGCAGGCCTAGGTGCTTGATTTTATACACCTGTGGCCATGGAGGTGATTGGAACACCTGAATCCAATGATGTGGTGGGGTGTCGCAATACTTTTGGCAATATAGAGTATATTTAGGGGTTTGTCAGAAGTTCTGCTGCAGTGTTTGCAATAGACTTGAGTTCTAATTGAGTTGTTGATGAATTTCTACTGCAAGTGCTAACGCAAGAAAACAGAAGCCACTGCTCTTTAAACAGCACTAACTGATATAGTTATTAATGCAGTTTTATAAAGTATGACGAGTATAATTTTGTTTGAGAAAGCGAGAAAAAAATATATATATATATTTTGTATTGCCACCTTATGTTATGAAGCACAGAAATGTGATGACTCAGACCTGTCATAAATTTGTTTGCATGTACAGGTGAAGGATACGAGTCATCAGTATACTATTTACAACATGTTATGAAAAAAAAATGAACACTTTGTTGGCACCTTAACTAAAAATTATCTTCACAATTTATGTGACAGACACTGTGGCCTGACCATGAAACCTACCTTGCTGATCTGCTTCAGCGTTGCGGGAAATTAGAGCACTTACTGCAGGGAATGTGATACTAGACATTGCAGCTACAGCACCAGCTGCCCACATCATCCTGAAAATAAGCAAACAAAACTGGCAAGTAAGTAGATGACCTTGTATGTCAATGACGAGTATATCAGCACAATGGCTATCCGCACTGAACAGTCATTACATTATTGAAGCATCAATATTGCATTATATTCATTCTAGCTTTGCTCCAAAATTAGGTCCTTGCATTGGGAGAGGTAGCTATCCAATAATAAAGAAATATAAATTGTTTAAAAATAAGGTACATAACAATGGGATTAATCTGCAAACCCAAGTACAAGAACAGAGGGAGAATAGAAGCACCATGCAATTCATGCAATTACAATAACTTGTAAAAAAGTTTATTATGTATTAGCGTTATACTTATAAAAGGCAATTACTAGAAATGCTCACATCTTTAAAAGGCACAAGCTGTCATTACTTACCATGGCTGCGAGCCAAAGCCATACCAAGCTAGCTGAAACATTTGAAAGCCCAACCCAAGGAGAACAGTATTTTTGTTTCCTATTGATCTCATCAGTATACTGAGAAACACGGTCTAAAAAAACAAAACAAAAGCAAACAGCAATATAATTAATACAGACATGTACTGCTATTTAGAAATATACTCTACATAAGATGCATATATTTGAAAATTGATGTTTAAAGTCAAGATCAGATGTATCATTCATTTTTACAACCGTGAACATTTTTCTTTACATCTGTAAAAAATAAATCAAGGCAACTGGACTTGCTGTATTTTTCTTGAAGACGTTTCATTGGTCATCCGACCAGCTTTCTCAGTTCAGAAATTGAGAAAGCTGGTCGGATGACCAGTGAAATGTCTAATAAAAATACAGCATCAAGTTGCCTTGATTTATTTTTTACAGATATACCATGACCTGGATGAATGAGAACCTTCACAGACATTTTTATTTATATATTATCCATACTTTAACCCCTTCATGACTGAGGCCCTTTTTTCCATTTTTGCACCCATGTTATATTCCACATTTTAGGCCTGAAAATGACGTAAAACCCCCCAACATTTTCAATCTGCATTAGTTCATTCATCTGCAGAGTGATCAGTATTGGGAGATTTTTTTCACAGATATGTATTCTAACCCAGGATCTGAATCATATCATTTTTTTGTTCATGTTCATAGACTTGCACAACCTTAACATAAATTAAGATTTGTATAAGTACTTATAAGCATATGATATAAAGTTGTTTTAATGTATTGGATGTATCCCCTCTTCCTTTAATCATTTTTTACAAATAGGATCTATTGTAGTCATTTACCAAGAGTGAAAAGCTTTTTGCTTTGGTGTATAGGTACTCCGTAACTCCCAAAGTAAGTTAACCATACAATGAGCAAATTTTGGCCAATTCTTGATGAACCAACCAAAATTCGAGCCGTGAGTGGCACTGTTGGCAGCCCTCCACTTGACAAAAGGCGATTTTTAAATACATTTTTGTCAACTCTAAGGCCGGTAACAACTTGATTAATCTTAGGTCCTTGAAGAGGACATGTGGGCACAATTTAAGGTTAGAGGAAAGGAAGTTTAACTGAAAATTGCAGGGAGTGGGTGGTGGGAGTTCTTTACAATCAGAGCAGCAAAAATGTAGAACTCCCTTCCCCAGGTAGTAGTAAACGTTGGAAGACTTGACAAAGTACAAAGAAAAAAAACTTTTAGATGTCTTCCTCGAGGAGTATAACAAACAGGGATATGTTTACTCTGGAATAGTTCACTTAATCTGACACCCACAAACATTTTTGTCCACACAGCAACTGCATGTAATCAGATGCAGGCACTGCCTAGGTATTCAGCAGCTGCTAGAGTATAGTACAATATTGTAGAATACAACAGTTAGAAGCGTGAGATTGGTCTATAAAATGGGCATTTAACTGTTGAAAAAACGTATCTCCTTGGAATCATTATTTTATTACAACCTCAAAATGACTTATTTTCCTAATTAAAAACCAAGGGACCTATTTATAGCAGAGACCAGATACCGTAGTGCATAATGCTGCCGCAGTAAGGCAGTAGTTGCTCAACTTTATACCACTGTATAAAGTTGGCCACTAAGTTATTGCGAGTCTGAAGCTAGCTGTATTTTAAGGACCTATTGTTCTTTGAAATAACCCATGTGAGTCTTTGTGAATTGACCCTGTTGTCAAAACGACATGCGTACTGTAAACTCAGCTTCTGTGTACAGTATTCCCTTTAATTAAAAGGAGAACTATGGGGTTAGGGCTTTTCCCCATAGTTCTCCAAGGGTAACAGGAGAACACAAACTAGCGTCCTCCTGTCACCCAAAGCTCAGTATACCGCGAGCAACAGCTTGCGGTATACTGAGACGGCGCAGCATGACAGCTGGCTCTGCCTATCCAGAGACTTTCAATTGCAAAAGAAAAAATAAAAACAGTAATAAACATATTGTGCACAATATGATTTTGTGAACTGAGCCTACTGTAAAATGACATAGATTACATAATTTAACACCACGAAGGACGTACCTGAGCCACAATGGACAAAATTCCCACCACTGCTATGAAAGCAGCAATACTACTTTGATTGAATCCTATAATCTGTAATAAAATGAAAAAGGGTGTTACTTCCATTCTACTAGTTAAAAAAAAGCTGAATCATGAATAAAACGTTGCAGGCTTACATTACAATATTAATTACTATTTGTTAAAGAATGAAATAAGGTGCAGCCACAAAAAAATAGCAGGAGGGCTTAACTACACTCATTAAAAACACATTTCCCAAGTGATTTCAAGCAAGTAATATCCATGCACTATCCCTAATGCATAACAGAGAAAAAAATTTTTGAGATGGTGATATACTGAAGTACTGTGTATCAATCTTCATAAAGCATATCAGTCAAGCTCTGGAGCTTTTTAAGCAGTATGCGCATGCCACACCAGTAAAGAAATTCAGAATATGACCGTTCAAATGGCAACATTTAATTTACCTAATCCAAGTCAGAACACAAAATGGAGCTGTTCATTCTTATTTAGTTAACACCTAAAAAAAAACTCTTCTGAAATGATGACATGATGAATATTAAACTTGAATGACACCAACCTCTAGTCTTAAAAAGGCAGTCTGTACTTCTATAACACTGCTGATGAGCCTGGGCTTAGTTAGCCCAGTTCACTCAAGTTCGCCCAAGCCTGCTCAAAACTGTGACTGCCACTCCCTCCTTTCAGCCCAATTAGTGGTTGAGAGGTGCATTCCCTACCCCGCAGCTAAACGTCACAAAGGGGTGTAGAACTGTTGCCACTAAATGTGTGTGACAGGAGTGGTGGTCAAAGTTCTGAGCCAGCTTGGGCAAAGTAAGGCAAACCAGGTTCACACAAAGCCCCGGCTCATCTCTACATAACAGTGGCAAGAGTGTGCCTGTTCATTGAATGGCCTAAATATGAAAGTTTATTGGCAAAGCGCTCTTACCTTACATATACAAATAAATATAAAGAAACACCTGGATTGAACAAAATCTCCTGTAAAATGGCACAGGGAATAAAACAATCAGGCGCACTCAGCACCGCAGTCATTGTAGGAGCTGATTTGAACAGGTTATCAGTATTTGCTCTCTGGAAATAACATTCTAATCACTGTGGCCACTCACCTGCTTGAGATAGAGGAAAAAGCTGGAATACTGTCCAGCCTCTGGCAGGTAGGAGAAGAATACTGTGATACAAATGAGAAGCACGGTGGTGTCCTTTCCAATCTTTTTCAGTGACTGAAAGAACAACATTGCATAAAAACGTTTGCAAATATCAAACAGTTATTTAGGGTGCTATTACAAAAAGGTATGTAAACGGAGCAAAGAGAATGTATTCAGTTTGGAGAAAATAGACCCAAAATATCTTGTAATTTCCTGCTATAAAAACATGTGAAGCGATTATCAGCACAAATGAAGCAAAAGCAGGCGGCCACGGTGTTAAATGTCAATGTCCAGTGCGGTTTGTATCAGTAAAGGTCACCATTTTAAAAAAAAAACATTATGACAGAACAAAGAATTATAAAAATATGCTATTAATCTTGAAATTAATTAAAACTGAAAACATTTGCCATGTGATCATTCACAAATGCAGGAAGTTAAGCTTTAGATCCAGGGGTAAAACTGCATCCCAAAGTAAAATTATGGGACCCCTGCCTCTCAAATTTTCATCTCAAGACTGTTATTCCACTAATGAGTTGATCCAAACATAAAGCTATAGCAGCACAATAATGAAAATTACTGTCACAAAGCTCAATTTACTAAGATGGATGAGTTCTTAAATCCAATTCCAGTTGCTTTTCCTGTATGTCGTTTTATAAAACATGTTTTACATACTGTATATTGCTCATTTCCAGCTGTCTCCTGAATGGTCAGTGAGTCTATGAGGGACAGCACATGGGATGACATGAGTACTGCAGCCAAATCTATTTATTTTAATGTATCTAGTGCTTGGCTACTTTTTTTTTTTTTTATGTTGAAACTGGATGCAGTTTTTTTTTCTCCTCATGTCAAAATCCTGAGTAGTCGGCCACTGCCTCCCTCTGCCCTTATCCTAGGTAGTGGCCGACTACCCAGGATAAGGGCAGAGGGAGACAGTGGCCGACTAGCCAGGATGAGGGCAGAGCGAGGCAGTGTCCGACTACCCAGGATAAGGGCAGAGGGAGACAGTGGCTGACTAGCCAGGATAAGGGCAGAGGGAGGCAGTGCCCGACTACACAGGAAAAGGGCTGAGGGAGGCAGTGCCCGACTGCCCAGGATAAGGGAAGAGGGAGGCAGTGCCTGACTGCCCAGGATGAGGGAAGAAGGAGGCAGTGCCTGACTGCCCAGGATAAGGGAAGAGGGAGGCAGTGCCTGACTGCCCAGGATAAGGGAAGAGTGTGGCAGTGCCTGGCTACCCAGGATAAGGGAAGGAGACAGTGCCTGACTGCCCAGGATAAGGGAAGAGTGTGGCAGTGCCTGGCTGCCCAGGATAAGGGCAGAGGGAGGCAGTGGCCAACTACCCAGGATAAGGCCAGAGGGAGGCAGTGGCTGGCTGCCCAGGAAAAGGGCAGAGGGAGGCAGTGGCTGGCTGCCCAGGAAAAGGGCAGAGGGAGGCAGTGGCTGATGGTCAAGGGGAAGTGCAGAGGCTATCCATGCACCAGACACGGCAAAATATCCTCATCACCGTTACACAGACGCCACTCCACAGACCCTGCTGTCACCGCTCTAGTCTGGAAAAGTACATTTCCCCTCACCAACGACATTCATTAATAACCAACACCAATTCCTCCCCCTTCCAAGATGAATATTAAACGCTACCCATACGCTACCCATTCACCACCACAACACAACTCGCATACAATGGCCAAATCTACAATCTCACTACCAATCTGAATGAATTGTTGGCTGGATAAATCATTCTGCAGGAAGACTACAGTGGGCACCCTCACAAAGTTTCCACGAGATGTAGTTATCCCCTTGCTCTGGAGAGCATTAAAGTGAGGCAAGTACTGTACTCTGTACAGAATGTAGGGGAAAACAAACAACAGTCACTTAATATTCCCCCTTCCAATCTAGAATAATGATTAAAGAATCACAGCCTGCTGCTAACGTCCAACAGCATCAACTTACAGAAAATGGATCAGCCTGTTCCCAGGAAATCGGCGCTCCCCAGAAGCTAGGTCTCATTTTGTCACGTAGTGATTCTGGTACGACCAACAAGATAAAGCAGATGTCTAGCAGTGCTACCACGGTGGCAAGGAGAACTACTAAATTATCACCATAGAATGTAGATATGTAAGCTCCAATTGCTGGACTGGTCACCAAACTTGCTGCAAATGTAGCGGACACCTGTGGTAGAAAAACATACACATTATTATAACTGGTATTTCTCAGCCATGCGAGTACAGCCAATATGGAAAATACTGAATACTGAAATGAAAAGGAGTTTAAATGGCACTCAGACCAAAATAATGTAAGGCCACTGCAGGGATTTCCAATAAAGAAGCACCACCACATGGGTCAAGTAAGCAGAAAATGAAAGGTTTAACCCTTTGGCTGCCACTCAATACCAGAAACGCATAATCAACTTTTAAATAAATGTAATCATTTTTTTCCTTTCGATAGCGCCTGCATACGTGCATAATAGTATATTTGTTTGATTGGACTTACCAGGCCATATGCTGTACTTCGCTCATGTTCCTCTGTTATATCGGCAACATAGGCAAAAATAACAGAAAATGTAACAGCGAAAGCTCCGGAAACTGATATCATAGCAAAGTACCACCTGCAACCGAGAAAAGGAGGAAACTGTTTACATCGCTGACAGCAAAGGATTGTGTTCCATTTTTTTCACTATTTTACAAGGATTCCTTCCAGAAACCTCCTTATTTTTTACATCATTTAGCTCCAATGAAATGAGAGCAACAAACAAGTTAAAGCCCAGATGCAATGAAACCCATCATGCAATTAAAAAAATATATATATTTAGACTTCATTTTATTTAATTTACAGGCATCTTGTTCCCTTAAAATGACATGTTTATAGACATATATATTTACACAGCAACTAGTGGGAGAAACCATGGCATCTATCAGGGTGGCATGCTATCGGACACCCTCAGAAGCAGATGCGCAAAAGAGCTGATGAAAACTGCAAAGATTTTCCTCGCCACCCACCAAAGAGGCAAGTATTGAGCTTCTTGTAGGGTGCAGCTGACTGTATTCTCTGAGAGAAGCAACAGGGTCACTTTAAAGTTTTACTCCAGGCTAGCAGCTAAACACACAGTTGTAATATGCACGTGTAAACTGGTTCATCTGCCTAAAGGTTAATATGTTTGTTCAACCAGATTCACGCTTCTGTCATTAAGATGACAATGCCGTTTCCCGGCTCAGCATTGCCACCTCCTTGTATCCAGCCTGCTCTTTGCACAATAAATCATTATCCCCTACGACTGTCAAATGAGCAGGTGACCCAGGAAGCCGTTGAATGATTCTTCTGGCTAAGCAGCGTGGTAGAGATCCTTGAACAAGAATCACAAACCCAAATGAAACAAATAACATATATGTATTGTAACTACATATTTAGCTGCCTGGAGTGTAATGCCCACTTCCATTAAAAAAAAAAGAACACCTGTCAGTTCCAGATAACTCTTATCACGATGGTCAGCTCTGTCACACGGCTACTGCTCGGCCCAGGATACAGAAATTATATTTGCTAAATGCCACATTATGAACAACAAAAACTGCTAACATTACTACATGCAGAACCTGACAACATTTCTGCTGGCTAGGTGCTTATCACTGAAACTACTTATGATAAAGAGAGCAGACCAAGAAAATTGCTTTTTTTCCATTTTAGCTTTGCAAATACTGCTCTGAATAGCATAATGTTCAGCAAGCATGTTCAAAGCACTAAGAAAGCATTTAGTAGCTTTCTGAATGTCATGAAAGCACCCTTTCATTCAAGTTTTCAAGTACTGAATACAAACTTTGTGGCAAGTATATAAATCTGCTTGAAGAAAAGAAAAAAAGAAAAAGAAAAGAAAAACTGTGCCCACCGCTTTGGAACTCCAAAGCAAGCAGAGTCCGATCAATTTAAAGGAGAACTATGAGGCGAGTGAAAATCGCTCATCCTCATAGTTCGAGCCAACGTGTGACAATGAAACTGTCACACATCGGCTCAATTGATCGGGAAGTGAGCGAACACATACCGTCACTCGCTCACTTCTCAATCATCTCCCTGTAGAGAGCAGTGACGGTGTGTCAGTCACGGCTCCCTGCAGGGATTCCCCCCTCCCCGATCCTCCAGCGCCAAGTGGAGGAATGGACAGGGGAGGGTACAGCTGGCTCTGCGTCTAGATAGGCAGAGCCGTCTGTCACTCACACAGCTGGGTGGATATCGACAGTAATGTCGGGATCCATCACGGCTGCGGTGGGCTCAGTATACCGCCAGTTATAGCTTGTGATATAGTGAGCTTTGGGTCACGGGAGGACGCTAGTATATGTCTTCCCATGACCCTAAAGAGAACTATGGTGAAAAACACTTACCCCATAGTTCTCTTTTAACAAATAGGGGAGAGAAAAAAAAAAGAAACAGAGGGAGATGAAGGTCACAAGACCTGTCAAAGTCATGTGACCAAACTCTCTTTCTAACAGGAAAAACACTGCAGGCTCCACATCACAGACTGCATTTTATGAATGACTCACTCTTAAAATGCAGACACAGTATGAAGAACACACAGCAGCGTCCCCCTGAAAGTAGATATCATTATACACTGTAAGATTAGAATAGGGACTTAATTGCAGAATATATATATACACACACACACACACATACATACATACATACATACATACATACATACATACATACATACATACATACATACATACATACATACATACATACATACATACATACATATCTACTTACCAAGGGCTTATCCTCATTAATGGGATAGGGACACAAGTAAAGAAAACGGTTACAAGGAGGAAAGACTTTCTACCGTAAACATCTGATAAAGCACCAATGAGGGGAGCACACATAAATGATAAGAAGCCCTGGAGAAAAAAAACAAAACAAGAGTACAAAAATTAATCATGGAAAATGATCTATATATACTGGGCAGCATATTGAATATATCAAGGTAGAGGTTACTTCAAACATGTTTGTTTTTATCAGTTCAATAAGCCCTTCGGGGCAGGGCCCTCCTTACCATCTTGTCTTGAAATTGTATTGTGACTGTAATGTCTTCCTTATATTGTAAAGTGCTGCACAAACTGATGGCGCTATATAAATCCTGTATAATAATATTATTATAAAAACAGCACAACACTTGCCAACAAACCAGTCACATTATTTTTAAAGCCAACTCTAGCCAAAATGATTCTTGCTATAATTTTTTATTTGTTACATACATGTTCGTCTATAGTGTGAAAAGTTAGAACCACCGGTAGGCTTTTTATTAATGTCCCCAAGAGAGCGGTTTTTCTCACTGTCACCAGGAAAAAAGTAATAAAAAATCTCCCCAATAGGGAGAAGAAAAAAAAGAATCACAAAATCTTCCCATTTCTGCCCAAAACCCCAGAAAAACCTTAATTTTCAAATATCCATCAGAGTGAGGCACAGTGCTTCTTCAGACCACTTCTAAAATACATTGTTAGCCCAGTGGAAGCTAGACAGTCTCAGATAACATTGACTGTCGGAGCCATTCTCCAATTCACTGGTAGCATACTATGTTCCAGGAAATTGATACCGAACCTATACAGCTTTAATGCAAGTCAAGTCCCTGTGCTGAAACTAGTATGTGGCTTGTGAGTCAAAGAATAGCTGTCTCAATCACAGGTATCTGAGAAGTGTTTAAACTTGTGACAGGTTCCATTACAGATGAACTCAAGGGTCAACAGAAAAAAAATCTCACCTGGTTCTCCTCTTACCTTTGTCAGCGCACCTTTAGTGTCACATACAAATCTATTTCCTCCTCCTTCTGTAAGTGGTCCCCCAAGCCTTTTTTCCTTGGGTCCCTTCTTTGCTCACCTCTCATCTACACCTCGATCAGTTTATAACCACCCAAGGCTGCTAATACTATTTCTATGCACCCAAATCTATTTCTCTACTCCTGAAGTTACCCCTTCTGTCCCCTCACGCATTACTAATTTATTTTTATATAAAATAAAAAAAAGTTATAGTCACCTAAACCTCAAACCCGGCTGGCTGTTAGACCAGTCCTTGCAGCCTCTCTCCTCCTCCACTCCAGCAATGGAATGTCCCCCTGCATCCTCAAGCCCAATACAATGTACTGGACGTGATAACTCGTGGAACAACAGGAGGAGCAAGGCTGCAGGGACTGCTCTAACAGCCACATGTACATGCACAGACTACAGAAACATGAGAAACTGCCCAGAGCTTGCACAGCTAAAGGGTCGTTGGTGGTGCTTCATCTCACAGAACATCACCACACCACCAGCCCAGGTCTTTGGAATCACTGCTAAAGGGATGCCAATGATGCTTAAAATCAATAGTTCTTTGTCTACGCCCCAGGTCTTTGGAAGCACTGCTAAAGGGATGCCAAGGATGCTTAATCTAATAGTTATTTGTCTACGCCCCCGACCTAGGTCATTGGAAGCACAGCTAAAGGGATGCCAAGGATGCTTAATCCAATAGTTCTTTCAATATTATTATACAGGATTTTAAAAAGCGCCAACAGCTTGTGCAGCACTTTACAAAATAAGGGGAGACAGTGCAGTTACAATACAATACCATACAAAAGGATTAGAAAGACCCTGCTTTAATAATACTCATTTAATTGTTACATTTTGGAAGTGTAAATTGTAGAAATGGTATGCATTCTTTGTTACAGTTCTGCATACATTTGCAAAATTACACATGAAAAGAATCCCGCCACAACGGAAAATGGAGATCGGACTAAAAACAGATCTCATTTTGAGAAACGTTCTCAAAGTAGTTTCAGATTCTCTTCAGCACACAGAACCGGCTGATTGGTTTCAATTCTCACAAGAGATGCTGGACTGGAAAACTGCCAACTGCACTAGACCAGATGTCTGTCTTAAGGATACATTGCATGTCGGAATAGAATACTCAAACCAGACAGTCATTATCAGTGCTTAGTCTCTCCATCACATTCTACAAATGTAAATGAATGGCACAACTTATGTCTTAGGCTGATAAAAATAGAAGCAAATATGTTCTGTACAGGCAACAAGTAAAAGCTGCATGTCTGAACAAAAAAAACTGCACGGTAAAAGCTGATGGGCAAAATTCTAAAGAAAAAAGAGGAAATTTATGAGCGCACACATTTTTTTCAACCTGCACAGGAAAGAAGCGGCTTTGATCTGAAACCGCTAACCCAACACAGGTACTTCCCTGCTCCTTTTATATATCAGCTTTAACCCCTTCGTGACGGGAGACGTACAGTGTACGTCCCGTCACAAAGTGCCTATATGACTGGCCACGTACACTGTACGTGACGAGTTATATCAGGCTCTGTAATGCTGCTAACAGCTGATTTTCAGTCAGTATTGAGGCATTCATTAATGAAATAGTTAAGCATAGTAAAAGCTTCTTTCCTTCATTAATGAAAGAATTAAGCCGTTACATGCAAATATGGGACCGCTAAATAACAATCCTGTATTTGACAGCTGAAGATAGCAGAGAGGTAGCAGTGACTCACCTCTCTCCCATTCATTTTGACAGCTCGATAGCCCAATGTTTATGAAACATTTCAGGCAAAGAGATACATTTCAAGCAAAGAGATACTGTACATTGTATCACTTCTGATCGTCTAGGCACGATCATAGGCCTTTAGATAGATCCGATTCTGACATGCTGTCAGGATCAGTCTCTAAGGTTATTATTAGCTGTTCCTAAGTTTGGAGCACCCTAATAATAGCCAAAAAATTTTAAAAAAGTAAATTTTTCAAGCAGTCATAGTGACTGCTTGATATAAACTGAAAGAAAAAAAATTGTTTTTTTTTTTACATTTTTAACAAAGTGTAAAAAAAATAAGTGTAAAACAAAATTAGGAAAATAAAAATTATATATAAATATATTTTTATACTATAATTATTATTAAAAAAATTATAATCAAAACTTGTGAAAAAAAGTGTTTTCTTCTAGTTTTTTTCCTCAATTTTTTTATATTTTAATCAAACTAAGTGAGACGTTAGGTACACGTTTGATATAATTATATAGCCCTATGTGTCCTCTAAAAAACAATATATAATATGTGTGGGTACATTCAGTAAGAAAGTATATTACTGCTGTGGAAGTATCACACAGCAAAAATGAAAAAGTGTGTCAGTCATTTATGAACAGAAACTGAAAACTTGCTCAGTCATGAAGGGGTTAATGGTTCTCAGAACTCCCAGGTCAAGTCACAACTAGGGCAAAAGTTAAGTATACAATCTAATATGGTACTTTTCCATTCTGACCAGACAATAGAAAGCAAGTATCATTCATACATTACTATTGGAGTCAGTACTAGCTTTTGGAGTCCAACATGCAACTGTACCAACTCAAAATGCAGTGTTGTGCAGTAAGAAACACAAATGAGTGAAAGCACTTTCTCTACCATGTTGGATAGGACCATAATATCCAGGGCTTGATAAATGTTAGGGTGTCTCACCAGTCAACATGACCGGACTATCAGCCTTGCAATTTATGTTAAAACATAACAGATCAAGCTTTCTTTTGGTGGTATATAAAAATCACCACTAGTGGGGGTGGGGTTATTTTTTACTATATAATGAAAAAAGTACCGTACATTAAAAAAAAAAAGTTTCCCTACATTATGTTAAAAAAAAATCTATTTTTACCCATATTTTTGGTAAAATATAAAAGACGGGGTCACGTCTGGTAAATAGACAAACGTGTCAAGTCTTAACCAGTTGACATCCGCGGTGTTAAACCCCCTTCCCATCCAGGCCATTTTTCAGTATTCAGCGCTGCGGTACTTTGATTGATATTTATTCCGTCATGCAGCGCTGTACTGAAATGAATTTTAGACCCTTTTTTGGGGACAGATAGAGCTTTCTTTTGGTGGTATTTATTCACCACTGGGGTTTTTATTTTTTTACTATATTAAGGAAAAATTACCGAATTTAAAAAAAAAAACAGTTTCCCCTATAATAAATGATAAAACATTTATTATTACCCAATTTTTTGGTAAAATATAAAAGACGGGGTCACGTCGGGTAAAAAGACACCAAACATGTCAAGCCTTAAAATTTAAAACAATATATAATATGTGTGGGTACATTCAGTAAGAAAGTATATTACTGCTGTGGAAGTATCACACAGCAAAAATGAAAAAGTGTGTCAGTCATTTATGAACAGAAACTGAAAACTTGCTCAGTCATGAAGGGGTTAATGGTTCTCAGAACTCCCAGGTCAAGTCACAACTAGGGCAAAAGTTAAGTATACAATCTAATATGGTACTTTTCCATTCTGACCAGACAATAGAAAGCAAGTATCATTCATACATTACTATTGGAGTCAGTACTAGCTTTTGGAGTCCAACATGCAACTGTACCAACTCAAAATGCAGTGTTGTGCAGTAAGAAACACAAATGAGTGAAAGCACTTTCTCTACCATGTTGGATAGGACCATAATATCCAGGGCTTGATAAATGTTAGGGTGTCTCACCAGTCAACATGACCGGACTATCAGCCTTGCAATTTATGTTAAAACATAACAGATCAAGCTTTCTTTTGGTGGTATATAAAAATCACCACTAGTGGGGGTGGGGTTATTTTTTACTATATAATGAAAAAAGTACCGTACATTAAAAAAAAAAAGTTTCCCTACATTATGTTAAAAAAAAATCTATTTTTACCCATATTTTTGGTAAAATATAAAAGACGGGGTCACGTCTGGTAAATAGACAAACGTGTCAAGTCTTAACCAGTTGACATCCGCGGTGTTAAACCCCCTTCCCATCCAGGCCATTTTTCAGTATTCAGCGCTGCGGTACTTTAACTGACATTTATTCCGTCATGCAGCGCTGTACTGAAATGAATTTTATACCCTTTTTTGGGGACA